CGATTTCTTCGTATTCGTGAAAATATGAGAGAATATTAATTGATAAATAGTACCATGAATAAGAGCATTTCGAGCATTGATTTCCATTTAGTTCCGTAACACGTAAAAGAAACTTCACAAGTACCGTTTCTTCATTTAATAAATTAAAAAAGTACGAAACGATTTTTGTCTTCTGACAAAGTGATACTTTTGAAAATTTCTTTCATATCAATAAATTATTCGTTTGATACCAACAAGCTTTTTGTTTGAAACATTTGCTTATAGAAGTATCAGGACCACACGCTAATAATAAATGAATAAAAAATGTTCTGTATGATGCTAATCGATAGTAAGCGACCACACACGATACTAACTTACAAAGCATCTGCAATTCCAATTGCGTGAACACTGTTGCTCTAATTCTTCATCATCTAGACATGTAATCAAAAGTTCTTGTGCTCAAGGTATGGTAACAGTTTACCCGAACAATGGAAACAGATATATAGATAGCAATTTATCGGACCGACCGCAATCAATTTCCCTCATTTGTCCGGTTAATTATCTGTCTATTGTATAATTGCACTGTAATTGCTGGTTTCTCGTAATCGTAACATAATTCCACGTAATTATACAGAACTTCGGTTTTACTTTCGTTCTTACTTGGTCTAATAGATACAGCCATGCTCTGTGGCTCATGGCGAGACTGTTAACGAAGCGACAAGCGCTTGCTTTTGTTTTCACCCATGCGTGAACTATTAAAAGTCAGTGAACCTTATGTTGGATAGTAAGAATGTCAGATCTCTGTTAATGATAACGCCTATTGTTTCTTTGTTACAAACGCGAAAATATGGATGGTTAGCTTAAAGGAATTGAATTCTTGCATTTTTATTGCAATTAAGTCGAAAGAAGTATTTTAATTCATTAAGTAACTAGCCTTGCATCAATAAAACATTTCATTTACAATCTTTTTTAGTTCATTCACATTATTAAATTTTGTCTTTCAACATCGTTATTCTTGTAAAGAAATTCCAATGATTTCGTCACCATTTCTTCCTTCAAACAGGAAAACTTTATCAGAATTCATTAGATCGTGCTAATGATGCGAGTATTTTTATGGCTAGTGTCACGGGTTAAATTAACATCAGCAGCGAAAGTTGCGCCATGTCTTTGCGAGCTATTAGCCACGTTCTTACCATATAGTTGGAAGGTCTTGCAAGATGTACAATTGAGACGACAAGTGCGATAATAGGGTCCATGACGCCAGGCCTCGTTAAGCTTTAGGTTTATTAAGAGAATCGTTGAACTTCTAACAGGTCGTCTCTTAACGTAAGCGATATATTTCCACATGTTTCTTAATCCTTAACTCAGACATGAGAAGTATTCTCGTAATTTCATTTTCAAGTAATACAGTAGGCTGAAATCTTGTGCAGATTATATAATCTTTGGTAATCTTTGTACCAATTTATTAATTTCGTTTGATTCTGACGAATCTGATTTAATAATTTATTACTCGCTTTGGAAATAAATTATTAATAACTATTAGAATGCATATTGGTAAGGAGAATTAAAATTGTTTTAATTTAAGTAATCTCAATAATCCGAATGAGATTTAAATGGCTCAGTAATCTTCAACTAGATCGAGTTTTATAACTATCGGCTATAAATCAAGATTAAAATTTTTTACTAGAGTACCACAAATTCTACCAAGGAACAATTTATTACAACCAGTTAAGAAATACGGTAGAAGTTTACGAATGTTGACTAGATTTATGGTACACGCTAATAACGGAACATTACACGAATTTTATATGTTTATAGTACACATCACAAATTTCGTAGCAAGTTTAATATGGCAGGTATAGAAGAACAGAGTTTACTGCGCGCTATGGAGAGACGTAGCAGATTTTATTTCTGGCAATAAAATTGACTTCACACGTAGAGTATAAAAATTGAACAGGATCACAGGCCAATAATAAAATTTATATCCTACGTTTTAGTTATAAGAGACTCTGATTCTCTACTCCTTGGAAATATTCTGAACCACTAAAATTTTAGAGAAGAATTTACGTAGCAAATAAGGACTTACTTACTCTGTCATCTTAGTAGACTTTCAGTCAATTTGTTCTTCTGATAATCACTCTTAGTCAATATTAGCATCTGTTCCTAGTTTTAAACGTGATATTACGATGACATAACAACTCACTAGCGTAAGCTACAAGACTTTCCTACGCTTCGTTATCCTTAGAAATGTATTTACCTAATCTTAACCCTGCTATTCTTCTCACTTCTCTTTTACATCTGTATTTTTTAAAATACCTTTCTTTCAAATTTTAAAATACTTTCTCTATGAATAGTGCAGAATACACAAAAAATAGTAACATTTGATACACTGAGCACTAAAACCAAATATTTACAAACTATCCATATTTTAATAATATGCGATGAAATATAATTTTCATTCTGTGCCATACAGACTCGACGAGAACAGCATTGTTGAAGGATGTTAAGAGTACAAAGAAAATGAAACACAGAAATTACAATAGTTCATTATTCTTCATGGTAGAAGATAATAGATTTGAGCATCGAAAGAATCGAAGATGATAACGATGATTTTCTATTATGTAGCTAGAATGAATACCTTGCAGATAGTATAGCATTGTACGATGGCGAATTTTCAAACGAAAAGTTCCATTACGAGTGCAGCTTGTGCAAACGGACCCATGGACAACGCTGGCTAGCATTAAACTTTCATTTTCCACGCGCATCGGGCAACAATGCGAAAGAGGGAAAACTTCTTTGCAAGGTACTCCATTCACAAAGGAAACTGAAGGCACAATGGGCCACGAAGGTACAGGCGCACGAAAGTGCGCCAAATGCGAAATGCCAAAGTATTTTCTGTTCCGAAGAACCTCGTAAATGTTGATAAGATTTGTTGAGGAAACGCGTGGATTTACCTAAGGAGGCATTGTGTTATATACAAGCGTTCTTTTCTATAGGTTGCCTTAATTTATGTGCTTTCCATAAAACATAATGTACAAACTGGTATATAAATGAAATATCGTTATAACTCACTTATTTCCTCAAGAAGACGATGAAATCGACGAGATGTTAAGAAAGTTTGTCCAATACATATCCCTTTTATATACATGTCTATTGCCCAATAGATATAGTTACTAAATTTTACACTTGGGCACTATCATGCACAAAAGTTTCTTATGGGCGAATCTCTTTCTTCTTTTCTAAAACAATTCTCATAAAAATCAACAAGTTTATCAAGTGTACTCAATAAATTCACATAAAATCAAATGCAAAAATACAACAAATTTATTTCATACCACTTGCCTGCTACAATCGTTTATTTCATCCAGACTGTGTATATACAAATGCAATAAATCATCGCGAGATCAGAGTAAAAAGCGACCATCAGTCACGGTAAAAATTCAATCGAGCAAAGAGCTCGATACAATTTTTCAATGGAGTCAAAGCTGGTGAGAAATTCGAGATAACAAGCAAGTTTCTGAAACTTCGCTGAGAGAACTGTCGCGAGACGGATTACGCGTTCGCTAGTGGCCGAACAATTCTTGGAAATGGATCCAGCGAGCATCGGAGGAGGCCCCATCGGAGAATCACGGTGTTTGATCGCGGTGTGTAAACTTGGGACAGAAATACGACAGTCGAGAGGACCGCGATGTGTGCTGAGTCATGAGTATCAGGACTACCGAGCTCCCAGGTGGACCAGCTCAGCAACCGGGCTTTGATATCCTAACCGTTGCTCGCTGTCGCGTTGTTCTAGCCCTCTTTGGATAAGTTACACGCGAAACTACAGTCAGTCATAAAATGTTACACGCGAAACCATAGTCAGTTTACACGCACCTCTGAAATATAAAACGTTCCAGTAAAATCGTCAGTTATACAAATTTAATACATTACGGCAGATATTGTTAAAATGTAACGCAATTTATTCACTTATCTGTTATATTTACGTGATAAAAATAGTAGGTTTAATATTATGTTTATATTTTCTAGTCCTCTCCTCTTGCATAAATATCAATATTGCCTTGTTGTTTCCTTGACGTTGAGAAAATTAAAGAATCTGCAATCTATGATATAATTTTATGCCCAGATTTCTGAGAGTTAAATATCAAAAATTATGCAATTCCTTTTAGAAATACATTAATAATAATTGTATTCATATGTAAGAATCTGAATATGTAATTTTATGACAAAAGTAAGTACTTACGTTTTTAGATTCTTTGGTATGTCTAGATTTTGGTGATTGACGTCACGATTTTGACGAAAAGAAAGAATATTGCAAGAGGAACGCAAGCGGAGAATGTCAGGTTAGGTTAGGTTAGCTAATGTTTGTAACAAATATCAAGAAATTTTTATATATATTTCCAGATTGGTTTCAAATCTTATCAATATAAGTATAAGAGTCGCGTCCTATTATAGCGTTAATGAAATTTTAAAAATAATACTTTTAAGAATTGGGAAATTAATTGAGTTGAATAATTAATGTAATTTAAATAGAATATATACCACAACGATACTTTTATGACATACTGATACTCTTATTAAGGAATGTATGCAATTTAAAGTTTATAACCTACATCAAATACCAAAGTCTTATTAAAAATAAAAGATACTCTAAAATGTTTACGCGGACATTTTGTAATCGAGGTTAAATTTTCATTAAAGCTACGCTTGAAACTTCTTCATACATTCCCATATATAATTACATAAATTAATATATCGAGCTGTATAAGCAAACGTTATGCATAATATAGCTAACGATTTATAAACACAGAATATTACAGTTTATATATGATAAGAAATGAATTACTTACATATAAATAAACGTCTTCCGAAACAAATAATAAATTAATAAAACTACACATTACGTAGTCACACTTGCCAAAACTGAATATTTCATTCTGTGTCAATGTACGAAATTCACGCACTTCCGATGTTTTCTTCGGAAAATGTCGAACATGGCCGAAGATATACGAAATCATTCGTGTATGTGAAAACCGGCTCCTACCGGCAGAGTTCGCAACGTACAACGCTTTGAGTGGACGTTCCGTATCGTATTAATTCTTTTATGCGCAATTCGTTTGTAATTTAGTGCGAATAAAGTGTAAAGATCAAGACTGTGCAATCAATCGAGATCCTGTATCCACGACAGCGTTCTTTATGTAAGTGTTGTTCATGTATCTTACTCGTATGTCGTATTATATATGAATTTCGATTACATGCATCAATTATACGTATTATACAATCTTCGAGAACGAAAACAGTGTTTCGCAGAATGTAAATATTATTGATTTTATTTCGAAGTGAAACTTGTGAATTTTATTGACGGTTTCAATTGTGCCTCGATTTTCGCGTGAATTAATCGTTTTATCGTTTTGTTATTATAAAGTAAAATATAGGTTAGTGCGCAATAGCAAACAATATGTCCAGTGTGTTACTGTTAAATATAACCTATCAGTAACCGCAAGTATATTACGAAAGTAGAAGTATATCGTCGTAATTGTTACACAAGTATTAGGATTTGTAATATAAATCTGATCTAAATTGAAGATTATTAAAATTTTGATCGTTTAGCCCTCTAATAAATATAATACTATATACTAAGAGGGGAAAGAATTCAGACTGAAAAATGTAGATAATAATTATTTTTCCATTCTCAAACTTTATTGCATTACTTGCATCAGACACACACAAAGATGTTTATAGATGTGTAATAATAATTAATAATAATTATTAATATTGTGTTACAATCACTGTGTTACACATAACAATATTTAAGAAGATATTTCAATGACATTTATAGTAATATAACCATTTACTGGAGTCTCTCGTGTTCCTTCTCGTGTTACATTACCAAAAGATTAAAACATTTTAACTACGATAAACTCTTCCTCCATTTTCACTTAACCACATCGAATCATCAAAATACAGATTTCTCTACCAAAACTACTACTTCTAACGATCCTAATTCCATTCAAACGCAATCAAGTTTCGAGTTTCCGTGCATCAGGAAACTTAATATCGAATCTTTCCCCTATCTTCGATCAAAATTACCGATTCACCTTACCGCAACAACCATCCCTTTCACTTACTCTCACTACTACTATCTCACATAGTCGCGTGTCGCGTGCCAAAGAGGACCGGATAACGCGTTCGACAGTCACGCAGTGGTTGCTTCTTTTAATCACGAACCTAAAAAGGGGCCATCGATTTTTCACATTTCCCCGAGAGACACGCCCGTCTCGCGTGTCTACCCATCGAAGCATCGTCAAATCAAAGCCCCTCTAGCGTGGACTTAAAAAAAAAAGAGAGAGAGAGAAGAGAGAAAAAACAGAGGAGAACTGGCTTAATCACTTGGTCGTTTGTCGCCTTCGTTTAACCCTCGAATGGTATGAAAAAGAGGGTGGCTTTTTCGACGACGCGTCGAAGCTTTTTAGCAGGATGTCACGCGTCCTCGTTCCACATGAGCTTGTAGCAGCTGTTACGCGCATTCATCATTCCACTGATGTCCCTACGTATTATCCTCCCACGGAGTATTTGCAAAACAGCCCCTTCAAACAGATTTCGCTCCTGGATAGCGGTGGTCGGCGTTTCCAAGCCAGGAAAGCAATGCGATCGTGGAGTTCAGCGAACCACCCCTATGGTAAATATTACGGATTGCCGGAACTCTGTCGGCTGAGACTCATTACCCGATGCCTTCGTTCTTTCGACACGCAAGAACGTTAATTAACGATGCGCGTTTTTGCGCGAAGCAAGATCAACTCCATGGAAGTTTGCGCTTTATGGTTAGGGTGAAACTTGTATGTTTTTTGAAGTTGTCGCGGTTGTAGTTTGGGATGGGAGTTTGTATAATTTACAGAAATTGAATTTTTAAGGTAATAAGGATAAGGAGATGAATGACGAAGGAGTTAATAAACGAAGAACATTAATTAATCAAGTTCAACTTTATAGTTAGGGCGAACAAAGTTTGTTAAAGTTGTTGCAGTGTTTGCGGTTGTTTTGTGGTCTAGGGAATCCGTTGTGTAATTTAATGGAGTTAGATTTTTAAGTTAATATAATCGAAGACGATGATAATGAACGATAATGAACGGAGAATTAGTTAATTAAAATCAACTGTGAAATGCTTTTTCATTCGTATACACAGATTCGATCTCATTAGATGAAATGTTCCTAAGCACAGTAATTCAATTCATTTATTACAATTTACTACGAAGCTTTTACATAATACATTAACGTGGTTATAAACTTTCAGTTCGACGAAATGAAATTAGCACCCTCGATAAAACAACGATTCCACGAGCGAACGAATGAATCATCCATTAAAGTACCCGACGCATCAAGTAGTAGACGAACAAAAACCTATCTCGACAGGAGAATCTCTTCTTCGAACCCTCTCCTTGCTCACCTTTACTCGACATCAAAGGGTTCACGAATTCCGGAAATGCGCTTCTCGAAGGATCCCCAGGCGCTCACTCGAAATTAGCGCGGATTCGTCGGCGTGGTGACGTTGGGAAACGCCTGGGTAATATAACTTTTGCTCGTAAACGGAAGACAAAGACAGAAAGAGAGAGAGAGAGAGGGAGAGAGAGAGAGGGGAAGAGAGACTTAACGTAGGAAGAGTGGGAAACAGGGAGGGATAAAGGTATTTGCAGACAAATCAGTCGAGTTCTCTCGTAACGTTAAGCCTGCAGAATCTATCTAATTTAGGGTCATATTGGGAGACATGCAAGATATACCGATGGCGTGTAGGGGAGATTTGGCCCGAGGACCAAACCACTAATCCTTGCGTAGTAATCGATGATTTCCGCCCCTAAATTGTTCCTTCCTCCGTGGGGCCATAGACCAGGATGAACGAAGCTTAAACGAGGGAACCGCGTTGTCGGCGCTTTTGTTCTTCTAAAAGCGGCGGTAGCGACAACGATATAATTGTTTCGATTATTATTGGAGACAGTCGTCGAGTTGCCTGTTTATATTGTAATTACTAAGAGGTGGGTATTAGAGGTTGATTATTGCGTTGATAATTGGTACTTAGGATTAGCGAGATTTTTAAATAATTATGAAGATATTATGATATTCCTGGAATATTATTTAAAATGTAAATATTGTTTTCAGTTAAAAAGTAAATTCTGAAATTACGAAAGTTATTGATAGTGGCTGTAGGTTCCGCGTACCGAGTACCGAATATGAATTCCAATACTCGTCGAAAATGCTACGTGTATTTAATGATCGAGTACCTACAACAATTCTCTATTTCATCTTAATAATACAAGATATATTAGCGAAGCGATTAGGATAATAGCAAAAAGTGATCATTCCCATCTCAGTACAAGAGACAGTTTGGTAATTCATGTGACATCGCGACTATCTTGAGACATCTAACGCTAATGAAACGCCCTGGGCCAATAGGAAATTGCGCCTTGGTAAACATTAATAAACTTACACACGCGTCACATTTACTGACATATCGAGGTATAGTGGAATGTGTACATAGTTCCTAATTTCGATAGTAACTTGTTTCATTAAGGAAATGTAACAAAAGTTCAGAAATTTGATTCGTCTTATACTATAGAATTTCTAAAAAAAACTTAAGAGCTCGTATAACTTAAAATAAAGAGGATAAAGTGACCAATATTATCAAATATTATAATTTAAGTAAATAAGATATAACAATTAATCGATATTGTAGTATTTAGAAAATCATCGCGCAATAAATGTTTAGCTTCCTTAAAACTTGTAAATTCCAATATATGATAAGAAATCTCAATTCCAAATTGTTAAAACTGCTCCAGGAAGATTGGAATTTTAGAAAATTGATGTGGTAAGGGACCTTCTGAATTCTTCATGCTGTTCAAAATATTATTTCATTTATGAATTCTTTTGAGTACAAAAATCAATGAACGTCTCAACTTTATTGTACAATAATACAAAAAACAATTTTTCACATTTCATAATTTCACATTTTTAACAATAGATCTTACTGCCATTGTAAGTATTGTAAATATAGATAATCTTGTGAAAAAGATTATCTATATTTAATCTTTTTCAATATAGATAATCTGATATATATATAATATATAGATAATATAATATAAAATATAGATAATCTTTTTCACAAGATTATCTATATTTACAATACTTACAATGGCAGTATAATGTTTTGTATCATCTTACAATAATCATTAAGTAGAAATATCGAAATTATACCACTCTCCTCGAAGGAATTAACTTCATATTTAATTTCAAGAAACTCGTCAGCCATATAATAGTTCTATAAAAAAGCAGATGTGGTAAAGATATCACAATCGAGCGGGACAAATCTGTTTCGTTCGATAACTGATTAATACGCGGCACCACGAGAGCAAACCGGAAATCCTCTTATAAAAAGATTACGCTTGGACGAATTTAAGGCGGCAACTAATCACATAATACTTGCCGCGTGGTTTTAAGAAGATTAACGTTCCAAGGATATATGCCGTTCGGCAAATTCTCCTTTATTTATGCCCGCGGTGTTCAAACCACGGTCAGAAACGCAAGCGCGCGAATAATTTTCGGAGGTAACTTTCGTACGAGAGAGAGTATGGATTCCGGAATGCATATTTTATTCGATAACTTCGTAATACCCGCGATACAACTGGTTGCCGTCCGTAAATCCACTGCTTCCGCCGCTTCCGTCCGAACGAATTTAAAGCAGCAACTAATCGCGTAATACTTGGCTTAGTTTTAAGGAGATTAATGTTTCGGGGTTGCGTGCCCCTTCGTTCCGTTCCTCTGCATTTCTCATATTCTCTTCTGTTCTATCTGTGTCTTGTTTTGTTGTTCGGTACCGAAGAAGATGGATATGTATTGTTCGTTATATACGGCGGCTCGTGAAAATATTCGAACACTCGTAGAAACCTTTTACGAATATGTTATGTGTGTTATACTAAGCATTTTGAAATTTCGTTAACTCTATGTTGATGAGACTTAGAACAAACATAAAAATGTATATAATGCAAGTATATATTTTGCAAAGATCACGAAAGTATTTAAACAGTCAAGTACTTATTACATCGACAAGTTTCAATAGAATCATTCTTAACATTCATTGTATCTTTAAGATGATCATTCGCGCTGTCTACTAATTTTCTACTAAATATATGCGTTTGTCACGAATGTCTTGTAACTTCTACATATATTTTCAGTTTGGCTTGGAATCTTGTCAACATCATCATGACGGCCGTATCCCATTACAGTGGCAATGAAAAATGCAACTACACGTCCTGTTTAAATTATACACTATACTTTTGCACGCACTCATCGATGGATTCTTTCATATTCTACAAAAACTTCTTTCCGAGAAAAATCGTTTTAAACTACCTTTAACCAATGAATCCACTTTAAGTGGTACAAGTTACAACGTACCCCTTTATCTTCATCATAGCTTTCAAGATGTCAAAACGATCTGCAATATATGTACAAGTTGCCTTCCCAGAAAGCTTGTTCGCCTTAAAAACTTCCATCAGGGGAATAACAAAAATGTCTCGGCATGTACAGCGTGTCTTGGTGAGTTAACAAAGTTTTAAAAGAGATCAGAATTGCCGGGTTGCCTGGCTCTTCGTTACCGCGTCCTTCTTTTTCCCTGCGAGACACACCCTTTCCTTTCCGCTTCCATTAACCCTCCCCACTTTACCGATCCCTTCGTTGTTTCTCCGTTTCTTCGTTTGCTCGCGCGCGATAAAGGCTCGCGTAATTATACACGGCCGCGAATCAATCCGTTCGAAACGTCACAGCCGTAGGATTACAGAATAATAACAGTGCCGGCTGTTCGTTATCGCGCCACGGCTGGGTTTAATGCAACCTGCCACGTGAACGAACGAATTCCTGATAAAACGAGGTCGACGTGTTACTTTTGAGGGAACGAACCCATTTATCTTTTCGCGGGACCGGCTAGTCCTGAGTATCCGAGAGAACTGCTTTATATCTGACGATGCTTCCGGAATCGCGATCGCGATCTCGACGCTTTATTCGATACGATCTGCTTAAACCTTCGTCCGTGTTGTGCCTCCTGTAGGAAAAACGCTTGACTATGAGACTAGCCATGAACGCTTTGAACGTATTTCACGTAACGAGAACGGGGAAATGCGTAATCTTTGGTAAGTTAGGTTGCTGGTGAAAATTATTTCCGGAGACGATACCTAAAGCATTTGTATCGTAGTGTTTTGAAATGTCGCGTAGTATTTTTTAGAAATGACTCTTTCAACGGATGAAAGACGATCTTTGTAGACACATACTCGTGTGTCATATAAAAATGTAATGGTTAACACAACTTAGTAATATCTAATCTAACAATAATAATACTCAGCGCATAATATTAAAAATACCCTTGCTTTAATTCTTTAACATGTACGTTGTTATTAACGGACACATTGCATTTGGACGACTTACTATTTCATTGAATATTCGTTATCCTCTTCACATCTAGCGAAGAATATTGTATCGTCATGATAAGTACGTATATGGTATCGAGTGGTGACCGAGTAACATTTTTACAGTTTTTTCAAGTAATGATCGATAAAGTGAAGCTAAATGCAAAGATACTTATTTGTATTATTTATTTATAGAAAAACTATACTGTATCTGGGGAAAGGAAATAAGGTTCCAGTTACAGAAACAGTAAAATTTTCTTCAAATTCCTATACATTTGAAAATTATATATCTCAAACGGAGAAACCTTCATTTCTTCCAAATTTCATCGAATCGTTTAGGATGGTACCCGGACGACGAGCCGCGGGATTCACGGGAGCCCATAGACGATCAATTGCGATCAATTTCAACGGGATTAACTTTCGACCAGACGAGAAAAAAGAATCCATAAATTCCCTTAAGAGGTCTCTGTGAACTTTCCGCTTGAACACACCGTCGAGTCGTCGTTAAGCCATCGAAGTTCGCTGCTCCAGACCAAAAAGCGAGAACCGAGCGAAGGAAGGAACGAAGGAGGAGAAGAACTCGAGAAAACGAATTGCTAAGGTGGACGTCGACGGGGCCAAATCCGATGGGGTCGTTATGGACGTATGGAGTCAGTGCCCCGATGAAACGTGGTGGTAGCCACAAGGTCTTGAGTGTCCTTAGACATGAAATCGCTCGTCGAGAAACGTAGCCTGCAGAAGATCTCTGAATTTTTTGATAAACTGCGAAGAATAACACGAAAAATGTGTCTTTTTTAACGCTACATGTAACAGAACGGTCAAAATGATCAATTCATAATTTTTCACAGAAATTTTATGGATTTTTAACGATACATTTCTTGGGACTTAAAGTTTCTTTTTTTTTTTTGAAAAATAGACAACCAAGGTTTTGAATTAGGTTCACTTGCATTAGATATTTTTCATTTTGATCTCCTCGGTTCGAATTTTATGCTTTAGTCGATAGTTTGACTGTTACATATCGGTATTATGTTTGCGGAAGTTTGTGAAAGATGGTCTGATCAATAGAAAAATTTTAGGAACATCGCTAGCCTAACACAGCCCCACGTATACGCTCGAAAAATTCTGTAGAAACTTTTTTAGAAAACAAAATATCGTTATGAAAAAGTTCAGTCCTGAAGAATATCGTTTAGGTAGATCGGTACAATTTCACATCACATTTAGAAAGAGTTAGAAACGTTTCATTTCCGGGAAACTAGTTAGCAGAGACCGTCTCATTATCTAAAATGCCTCAAATGACCCGGACTCTTAAGTCCCTTCTAAATTTTCCACCTACAATAGGATAAATTATCACGAGTGCACTCTCATCACGCGAAATGCGTTACTCTTCTGTCTGCTCGTTGAAACAGGAAAAAGTTGGTAACCAGACACGAAATAAGAAGAAAGATGCACCAGCCTGTGGCGCTTTGCTAAATTTCTGCAAAAGTGTCGCTCTCAAAGAATTTCACGAAATTTTCGTGGAGGTATTTTTGAAAGTAAATTGCCGTTGTGATAATTATCCTGATAACAAGAACTCTTTGCTCGACGGTTTAATAATCCAGGCTTAAACGACGGCAAACCATTAATTCGAATTTATAACCGACGCTTTAATTGGTTGTAAAACGAAGCGCGATGTTTTATTTTGGAGAATGTAATAAGTTTCTACCATTTCAAATATTTTCTAAAATTTTCCTCCTTCCTTCATCTGTTTGAAACATTCAAGTAGCAAAATTGAGAATATACACTAGAAACAAAGACTTATACTTCTATTGATTCGAGCATCTGCATCGTATATCTCTCACACGCTATGAATTTTCAGCATACATTTACAAATTTAAAGGAATGAATAAATGGTGAAAAATACATCGGATTAGTGAAATTTATCCCTCTAAAAAGATCGTTCTCTGTTTTTTTGACACTTCGTCGTTTATCGTCGCAACTTTTCGATTATCAATTAAAGGAAAAATGCCTATAATCTCGCGAGTGTATAGAATATAAAAATAAGCTAAAAAAAGAAGCTAAGTGACAATCAGAGAACGCGATCGATGAAATATCGATCGAACGGAAAGACAAACACTGAGGTCGATTGTGAGAAAGTTCAAAGAGTAGGAGAAGAAAAGTTTAATGCAGAAAAGCAGCAAGTGGATCAAAGTGGCGGATGGAGATAGAGAAAAGAAAAGACAAAGAGATAAAAGGGGCAGACAGAAGAAGCTGAAGAAGAAACGAATGAACAACAGAGAAGCAGAAAAACCGGGTAAAAGGACGATCGCGAGTGGAATAAAAAGGGATCGTCAAAAAAGAAGGAACGTCTGGGAGGGTAATGGAGAAAGGAAGCGGTAGAAGAAAAAAGAATAATGAAGTTTCAACTTTGAAGAAAAGAAAAAATGGCAGGAGTCATGGGGTGCTACATGCACGGGGATAAATCGACTGTGTACCGATTTCACAACGTGCAGTTATTTCGCAAAAGAAGAGAGACAAAAGCTGAAACAACCATTACACGGACGTTATTGCACCGAATGGTTCGT